CCCCCCCCTCCCCAATAAAATAAAATCCTCGGGCAAACCTTTAGGATGACAGTGGGGATATCCCGTTTGAGAGCGGATTCCCAGTTCTCCAGAGTTCCTGCTCCTCCTTCGAACACCAGCAGACAGACCGGAACTTTGAACTTCTCTGGGGACCAACAATAACACACTTGTTACAGTATCTCTAATCGGAGACGTCTCCGGCGGAGATAGACCAATCAAGATGCTTTATGTCTCTGGATCAAGTAAAAAAAATTCGGGGGTTTGGGGGGGGGGGAGGGGTGGGTTGAGTTGAAGTGGGGTGACATAAGATGAGATAAGATGAGATCAGAAGACCCACAATAATTTGATATTTTGTAGTTAGGTTTGAAAATTAAATAATTTTTATTTGCGACAGTTTTAGTATCTAGATGTGTGATCTGCAGTAAAAAAAAAATCGCAGTTTGACCCCCAAAGCAGTGCAACTGTGTACAGTGTGCAGGAGTACGTTTCCGAATAGTTCCTGAGTGCTAGCCGGCGACGTCTCCGAATATCTTCTTACCACATTGTCAGTCTCAAGAAGGCTGAAGAACGGTAATTTCCCCTAACAAAACTCACAAGATCAACGACAGAATCCTTGATTTTATAAAGGCCAATTTACGGGGAAATTGTAAATACAGTTATTTTGATTTAAGCAGGTTATCATTTTAGATTGTTATTTTACCTAAAGTTTTTAACAATTTAAAATCTGATCGTTGACCTGAGCCAAGCCGTGCAGTAACCTGTTGTGAATGCAACCAACTTGTGTTTCGCGCACTCATAATTAATATGACCGTAAGCAGTTGCAAGCGCCGTAAAACTCTTGCTAAAATAAACAACAAACACGCAAGTCCACCTAAAGATGGTACTTCTCCAGACAAGACCCATCAAACACTTCACTTCTAAGGAGAAAAACATACTTTGTTCCAAAAGAAAAGCGCCAGATGTCACGACAGGGTGGCATCAGGTGCTCATCAATGTTACGGTAGAGGGAGTCATTGGTGTTACCTTAATGCCTGTTCATTTGTCTTTCTTGCTTCAGATGAAAACAAATTCATCTATCTTGAAAAGAAATCAAGACATTTGAGACTAAGGAAGTTGGTGATCATCGCCTCTTGAATAGGAGTCAAACTGAACGAGTTTGGGAGGGGTGGGGGGGGGCGCCAAGTGTCGGGGTAAAGTTAACGAAAAAATGGCCGCCAAAGCTGGTGACTTCAAGAGCTTCAGTGTCCTATGACTCTGAAAAAAAAATTTGTGTATGCTTTTGATCAAAGTTTGTCAATGAAATCCACACCGAAATAATACTTCTAAATGGACGGGAGACGTGCTGACTCTCGACTTTTATTTTAGATTTTGTTTCTCACCAAAAGCAAGACAAACCAAGAAGCTTCAAGGTTAGACCAATAATCCTACACCTACCCAAATTTTGACGAGCACCTGATTTCATTGTGTCGTGACATATACAGACACACATGTGCGTGCACAGAGAGAGAGAGAGAGAGAGAGAGAGAGAGAGAGAG